TCCTCAGGACCGCCACGGCCGAGACTCGACATCGTCTTTTTGCGTGTACCGCGATCAGAGAGTGGGCTATCTTTGTCACCTGGAGCGACATCCTCAAAGACGTTTGCAGCATCAACCAAGAGCATGATACTATCTTGAGTGCTCGATACTGGTGCGCCCAAAGTTGCAGCAGCTACCTGACTGTGCAGCTGCACGTCGGATAGAGGCTTGTTCCTTGTCGATGTGGGATACATGGAAGAAATGTGAGAGTGATGTGAGTCGTCGCGAGGTTGGGAGGTGACAGATGTTCCAGGGTTCTGAGACATCTGAGGCGACCAAGATTTGCGTGTGAAGCCGTTTGTCGTCGGCAAGGCAGAACTGGACTGTCGGGGCCCAGAAGGAAGGCCGAAGGAGGACATGCCGTCACTTATGGTTGGAGCGTCACCATTGTCAAGTGTTTCAGAAACGTCTCTCGCCGTGCCATCCGACTTCTTTTGCTTCTTTCTGGTGGGCGCAAATTCACAATTCAGACGCTCACGTAGGCATCGCTTGCAAGGGGGGTTCATGGGCGCATCGACACCTGAAACACAACATCATTAGTGGCCATGCAAACAGCTCTCATCTGTGTAACGTACTGCCCAAGTCACACTTCACCTTGCGCTCGCGACATCTTTGGCAGGCTTGGTAGCCTCGCCGATGAGGCTTGCCCTCGCGGGGTACCTGCGTGGCATTATTGTCGCTGGGCTCTGGTGAAGTGCTGTCCTTAAAGGTGTTTGAATGGATCGCGTTGTTTGAAGGCAATTGGGGATGAGCATTGTAGGCCATAGCAGGCAAGGCACTGCCAAAAGGTGGAGCAGTAGCTTGGGATGGAGAGAGAGTTGCGACACCGACACCGAGATAGCCGTCCGGAGGAGCGATCCCAAGCGGAAGCGGAGGCTGAGGCTGGAGTAGCTCAAGAGAGCCGAACTCAGGCCCCGCCATTGTGGCTGCGCCACCGATCTGCTGCGCCACACCTCCACCAACTGCGCTGTCGAAACTTGGCAAGGCTATGGGTAGTGCAGGAACGTCGTTCATCAGCAATACAATCAGATCCAGATCATCGAGATCTTCGACCGCGACACTTTCCATCAATGCCCCATACGTATCATTCTCCGGGTACTGGACATTTGGGGACCCAGTCCACCCGGAGTAGAACTGGTCATCCATGATCTCGCTGAGATGGCCTGAGGAAGAACTACAAAGAGGGAATTAGAGAAGTTGCATTAGCAGAACCTCGACGTGATTTTTCTTGTTGCGGACTGTGTTTTGAAAGTCACTATGGAACACGTGCACCAGCTACGTGTGATCGGACCTCTGTCACTTATTCACTTTCCATCAATAACCAGCTTTGAACAGTAACAACCATATCAGAGCAAGTGACATGTCGATGATCTTGCCAGACACCCGGAGACAGACCACCGGATTACCTTTTATGCCCCTGTTTACACCCAAAGGTAAGTCTGGCTTTTGTCACCTGTTTCTTGTCCCTCGGAATCCTTGTCGATATGATAGACCCACTGCTGGAGACGTTGCTAAAAAGGTATCAGTATCCTTTTCTCTGCCATCAACAATGGTCTTCATGTCGTCGGGTTGTTGTTTCGGCGGCATCGGTAGACTGCGGACACTATCTTCGCTAGCTCTTCGTAATATGTCGGGTGTCATGCGACCTCCCAACAATCCTTTGACACCACCAGCTTTCCGCGAGGGCATCTCGCCGGTACCGGCGGTCAATACATAAAGCAAGTACTTGAGGTTTGGGAGAGTGTGCCGAATATCAAGGACCCGCAGACCTTGTCGGTTCATCAGAAACTCAATGTCCTTGTTCAACAGGAAGACACCATATTCAAACTTGTAAGGAACGGTTATTGGGTGCAGCGGGTATCTGCGCTGGCTAAGGCCGATCGATATCGGATCAATGATGTAGGATGCGGACCCATACGGTTCAACTGTGTATGGCAAAGGAATAGACAGGTAGAGCGCCAACTGATGCACCAACTGAGCAGTAAATCCAAGAGCTGCAGCAATTTCGTCTCGGTTCGTGTCGTTGTAGACCGAATTCGGAAGGTGGATACCGCGGATCGTGAACTGAAGCGTCCGGTTTTTGAGTGGTTCGATTGGGAAGATGGCAAGAAGTGACTCGCATATTCGTCTAACTTGGCCGCTGGAGTCTGCTCCGATCTGGTTAAGCTGAGCCTCAAGCTCCCTAGATTCCTTTTCCCCTTCATCAATCAGCGCCCTGGATGCGACTTCGGTCTCGCGGCCCATCGCAAGAGCATTCCTCTGTTCCTCCAAGGATTCCAGTAATTCGTCTCGTTGCTTTTTCAATTGTCTGAGTAGCCTTTGCTCGGCAGCCAAAGCCGCCTTTGCCTGAGGGTTCTCGTCATCAATCTCAGGCTGCGCCTCCTCCGCAACGGTGAACACGCGTGCGTTGGCGAGGACTTTGTTGATATCCTCCTCAAGCTGAGAGCGTACCTTGATGGCATCCTGAATACACTCATCCAGGTTTGCAAGCTGCATCAGAGCATCGAACGTGGTGCCCGGTTTGCTCCCGCCGGCTCTATGGTCAACCGAGTGCTCAACGGTGGGATGGGGCTCGACTGGCAGGTCCGTGAAACTGGTATAGATTCCATCAGATAGATGTAGCAAGACGCAGTTTTGAGGCAATGGGTGGTGAAAGTTCTCCAGACTTCGTCCAATGAACTGCAAAGATCGCAGGTTCAGGTCCAATTCCACCAGCAAACAGTAGTCTTCCGTCTTCGAAGGCCGGGCCCAAACTCGAATAGTACACTCGTCTGACCTTGATATCATCGGCCCGCTGTTGTCCAAATCGAAGAACGCAAAGCTCGGATTCATGGATTTTTCTATGACCTCGCTGATGTATGCAGGTTCGGAGATGCCTGCACAATGTACTGATACCCATGTATCAGCAAGGCGCTTAACGACCATATCTTCCAAAGTCGACTGGCGCACGCGAGGGTTGCTCGTAGCCCAATGCAGAGTGCTTCTTCTGCGAAGCCTCGCCCCGCCAGATCTGGTTTGTCCCTTCTCATTTCTTTCGAAGGAAGTGGCAGCCCTTTGAGGACCGCCGGAAATTGAAGCTTCATCGAAGGCAGTAGGGAGGTTTGTGAACGAACGCGAGTGAGATAGGTGCGATTGGCTAGATTCCTCATGCAGAGCGCGCTTGGCCGGGCTAACAAGGTTGTAGGGAGCGTCGTCGTCGGTAGTCGTCCTGCCCTGTCTTTTGGGACTGCTCGAGGTTACATGCAGGTTTCGCAGAGATATACCGTGTAGGTGACGGAGGCGGCGGTTCTATGCGCAAAGTGAGATGGCGAAAAAGAGCAGGTAGAGGCCACTGACCCATGGATAGAGGAACGGTCGCCCCTGGACTCTGGAGTGGACGACGAAGTCATCTCCACGATCAGCCATTGCTTTCTGTGCTAGCGCGACACATTGCTGGCAGATTGCTGGAGAGGAGTCGGTTGGTGAAAAGTGGCGCAAAGACTACATTGAGCAGGATCGAACGGGACCGACCAGGAACGCTTCCCATCCATGCCGGGTTTTGGGATGTTCCTTTGCACCTCCGCCGCAGAATTGGGCATCACCTGCATTTTGCGGGTGAAGTCAGGCTGCAGCCAATCACAGCTCTTGGCACGTGCGACATTGTGGAGTGATGTTTCTCCGATGTAGATCCTCTTGGCCTTTCTAGCTTCTTAGCTTCCCCTGAGTTTTCGAACGCGTGTGTTAAGATTTCCCTCACGCGCAACGTAAACAGATTGCAAACACTATTACAATGCAATATCGACAGAGAAGATGCTGCTGAGATGAGGCGCTTGCCATCCTACCCCGATCGCAAATTGCTGTACGGGACATCAACACTCCGGTTTCACCTGGCATCACAGCAAGGACAATGTCAGTCCCGACGAGCATCGCCACGGACAACTCCTGGTATCTCGATCTGCCACCTCATTTGTCCGTATACGTGACATTGGAGCCGATGTACGAGATACACGCGCGAAACAAATTTGTTGCCGAGGCTTTGACGTCTTTGACAGCCTTTTGTCCACACCACCATGTGTTTTGTTTGCCTGGCCTACCTATGTAGGAAGGTTAGACGGTAGGGTCATCTGCAGCATTTACACTCCGCTCCCCACCAAACTAATCGCGAGAAGATTTCAATAGAGCAATCGATAGACTTAAGCAAGTTCCACACCAGTTTATTGTTACACACCCCACTTTAATGTCTATCCAACAGCCCGCAATCTCTTGCCTCTTATGTGTCACGTCCTCGACGTCTCTAAGGCCATTGGGGATGGTCGGCAAGCTCCAGACCAAGCATTCAAGTTGTACCAGACAGTAAGCATCTGCCCACCACCCAGACGGCTGGGATCGTCCCATTTCCTTGACCCGAACCCCCTTTTGTAACTCTTCTGTATGAGCACAGCCTGAGATCCAATGATCAACACAACGTCTACACCTCTTCGGTAATGTTTCTGTCATTGGAACAGAACCTGTTCTATCCCAGGCCTCAATTATGGTTTCCTTGACGACCTGTTCTTTGATTGAATTTACGTTCTCGGTGCGTTCCGTTCTGTTGACGCGCTCTAGATCGCTGAGCTTGGAGGTTATTTGCATATGGCCCTTGTGCAGTTGTTATGACAGCAGTCTCCTTCAGCTGTCTAATCTCTTTTGGCTCACCACCTGCAAAACAGCATCGAATAGATTGTTCGGCACAACCCTCGCAACACAATGCGCGGTGTGGTCCAGGGGCGAGAAGAGAAACCGAGTCTACATAAACGTCTTGGACGCAGCAATGATTTCTCAATCCTCATACTTTTCACCTTCCATTGGTTTCTCTCTCGCTCTCACCATATTCATTCCCTTTGCGAGTTGTTATTTTTCTACCTGATTTTCCGGCTTGACGTCGCCGGAACTAACCTACCACCCTACTACACAATCAATAGCACAAAGCACTATTCCCAAGAATGAAGATCCCTACAACGACCCTTGTTGTGCTGGCCGCCAGTGGTCAGGCACTGGGCTCCTGGTTTAAGGACGTCACCGTGACGGAAACTGCTACAAGACTGGTACAATCTTGCCCTTGCGACGGGGAAGTCAAGGTCACGCCCATTGCTCGAGGACAGGACTTTGGTCCTCCTGGCCATGGTGCAGGTCCTGTGACCAGGGCAGGTCCGATAGTGGCAGTCTACACCACCGCGGGTACCGTAACGACCAAGACCGGCATCGTGGTTGAGTTGGGGCCAACTCCGGGAGGCCGTAAACCTGGAGTGACCACAACGATCTGGACGGGTCCTCTGCCCACTGAGGGTATGTCATGGGTAAACTGGGACTCGGACGATGAGAACAACGCTGCACCAGTGCAGACAAGGTTCACCACTATCAATGGCCGCGCTCCAACGAATACAGCGCCTGAGCTATGGACGGATTGGCTCAACCCTCAGCCGACAGGGGGTCCTTCCGGCAATACCAGACTTCGTCTTCATCAAGGTCCTCATCACGCACTGGCGGTCCTGTCGGTGGTTCTACCAGTACCACTACTTCACGCTTCTCAACCACGTCGAGCAGCAGCTCAGTCGTCGGCGGCACCTTTACTTCCACTAGCACCACATCTGCTTCAAGCAGCAGTGGTATTGGTCCTATTGGGGGAAGCACGACGACCTCTTCAAGTACCACCAGCACCTTGTCAACGTCCACCACGATGACCAGTGAGACAAGCTCCAGCAGCACATCTTCCGCCAGCTCTTCTCTTGGTCCTATTGGCGGTACGACCTCCTCAAGCTCCACCTCTGAGTCGGTCACTTCTTCCACTAGCACGACCTTGTCAACCACCACTTCGACCTCGTCAACTTCCTCGACAATCACTTCGTCTTCCACCACCAGTTCGTCGACAACTTCGTTGACGACTACCTCCTCGACGACATCAGTTGCGCCAGGCGCAACCGTCACAGTTGATGTTCGCTCTCTGTCCTATATTGACGGCATCCTCCTGGCTCATAACGTTCACCGCCGCAACCACTCTGCTGAAGACTTGACCTGGTCAGCTAGCCAAGCAACAATTGCCGCAGAAATCGCTGCCAGCTGTGTCTTCGCCCACAATACGTAAGTATTTCTGTCGTCTCTTCGTCGTCAACTACACATGAGCTAACTCGGTTGACTCTTTCGCAGCGCTGCTGGAGGTGGTGGCTACGGTCAGAATATCGGCGCCGGGTACACCCCTGCGCAAGTACCCGCCATGATTGGTAACGATATGTACAACGGCGAGATGCCCTACTACCCCTTGCCTTACGGTGTAGACAACGCAGACACCACCAACTTCGCCAAATGGGGCCATTTCTCCCAGATTGTGTGGAAGGGCACTCAGCAAGTGGGCTGCGCGACGCAGTTCTGTCCCAACGGAGTGACAAACGCCGAGTTCACTCAATATTTCACGGTTTGCAACTATGTTCCTCCTGGTACGTGCCATCGCAAGGAATCCCTTTTGATAGAAACATTTCTCGCTTTGTCAGGTGCGCGAATGCTGATTGGAGGATTAGGAAACTACCAAGGATCTTTCAGCAACGTTGGCGCACCTTTGGGCCAACCCATCACCGTCATCCAGACCAACTAAGGAAGATGAAAAGGAAGCAGATGATATACGGTCAAATCATGACGGCAAAGGAGTTCGTTTACATAGTCATTGGGTTTTAATGGGTATCATGGGTCATGGGTCAGGGCATCGACGCTGGCAGCCGATCTTGGATTTGGAGGGACGGTAGGACGGTTTGGTGAATGGAAACAGAATGCTATACTTTCACATTTCGGTCAGTACTACCTAGTTTGTGGAGCTACCATATGTAGGCTCCTATCAGTAGTTATCAAGACATATAATTCGAACTTGAGGAGACGGTGTTGATTCCTCCACACAGCTCTAAATCCCGGGGGTGGTCGGCCTTTGTTTCGATGTGGCCCTCTTTGGGAACATTTGACCTCACATTTTATATCGGTCAAGTGGAAGACACATTGTATCGGTAGTACAGCCTCACTGGGCTATCGGATGTAATTGTAGAGAGCTCTTCGCTATACGAAATAAGATCAAGACGAATACCGTCTACTCTGACTCCCGGCGCCGTTGCTCAACATGCAGATCCGCCTTCCAGATATTCCTGCTCTTAGTTCTACTTTCGCAGACTATCCAAACGAGCTTGCAAGTCATCATCCTCACCTCCTCCACCTATTGCCTGAGCAACGCGGCTTTCCGGTACTGCCGCCTTTTGTATGCCGGTTGGTGTTTCACCAAGCTGCACGATAGGATTAGCATCGAGCATTTCGAAGTGTGGAATCGCTCTTACGGCATTGTTCAGATCGACACCAATTTCGTCCAGCACCTGATTCACGACTTCTTCTCCTTCCTCTTCGTCTTCTAGTCCGGTGACATCGTCAATGGCATCGTCCATCATCTCCTGGCGCTGATCCATGATATCATTCTCGCGCTCAAATTCCATAGCGATTCGCTGTAAAGCAGGCAGGTTCATTTGGCGATTCATGCTCCCTAGTAGCATGGTTGCTCCTTTCATGGACTGCATCATTTGTTCATTGCTCCGGACGGTCTGTCACACGCAAAGCCTTGGTCAGCAGACAGTCCCAGTGAAATAGAACTTTGAGGGATGCTACCTGTATTCTCAAGCTAATAGCCTGCAATTGTGTCCGCATCTGATAGAACTTTTGAATATACCTCCTGGTCCTGACCAGGTCCTTCGCTTGAATCTTGCAGGCTCCAATCTGTCCATTCTTTGCACTCTTCTTGATGTCGGCCACAAGCTTCTTCTCTTGATTCTCAAGCTTCACGCGCTCACGGTCCAGTTCGCGTTGGGTCTTCTCCAGAGCGCGTTGGTGTTTACGTAGCCTCTCGGCGGGGGTCATGCGTTTGCCAAAGGCCCATTCTATGATCTGATGTCTGATTGTTAGCGGGGTAGAGGCGGTGGTAGCGGAGAGACAGCAGAGACTCACATTCATGATGAAATGTGGGAAGAGTGGTCAGAAAGAAAAGCAAAGATCGCTTTCAGTGAATATACTTCCAGACCATAACCCCAGAACTAGTGTCACGGTATTTGTCGCAGCTATAATGTCGAGGCAGCGGGTTAGTAGATGTGTGGACCGGAGCAACGATGCCAGCAGCCACTGACGCTGTCGGAAGAACATCGGCCCCGTTCCTCCGGTCACTCCAAACTGCGACCTTTGCTTTCTTTTTAGGAAATATCCTTGGATTATCCTTCGCAGATTCAACCATAGGCATTATCATGGACCGATATGTGCCCTTAGGTCTGAGAAACCTTGCGACGATCGACTAGGGAATACTGAAGACTACTTTCGAAATGAGCCACACCGACGAGCCCGACGAAGGGCCATCGCGCGCATGCCGAGATCCTGATTTCAATTCCTCGACCACAGACCGACACGAAATGGCATCGCCCACTCCCGTCCACACCGCAGGGTACCGACCCGAATACATGACTGTAGGCAGTGGATCACAGCCATCTCATGCTGCAGCACTTATGGAACAACTCGAACGAGATTCCGGCTACGGCAGTATGGCAAATGACGTCCAACAGGCCGGTGGCGAGATGCGCGCATGGGAGGACGAATTTCTCAGAGACAGACCAACGCCTGCCCATACTCCCCAAATCAACGGACAACCTGCAAGAATGTCAGAAACAGAGAAACGATCTCTTGCCAGCCATGTACATCAACTCTATTATAATCAAAATCGCGTCGCTCTCGCAAAGGCGATCTCGCAAACCGTCGAACTGTTGAAACAATTACAGGAGATGAATGCCCAATGGCCTGCACACTACCCCTCTGTTCAGAAAGATGATAAAGAAAGTCAATCTGTCAGACCGATCCTGCGAGAAGTCCAGTCGACAAGGCAAGCGGCGGATCTGTCACGCCAGATGTTTCTTAAAAAGGCGGCGCAAGATCGGCCAGGAGTGTTAAGAAGAGCTGGAACTTCACTTGGAGAAGATGCGACAGGAGAGTCAAGCTCACAGGCACAGCACAGACAGACATCCGAACCACGACTCATCACGCCACAAATCGCACAGGAGTTTTCCATCCTGAAGCTCGATCTCAAAGTTGGCGCACTGTCTCAAACGGAACTCGTTCATTCTCTGGAGAAGAAGTCGATCGCGTCACTGCTGGATGGGAAAATAAGCCAGAGCGTCCGGCACCTGCTGGCGCTTCGGGACCGGATAGAGGATACCTCGAGCAAAGTCCTGGTCACTGGTGATCTAAATGCAGGAAAGTCAACGTTCTGTAACGCCCTGTTGCGCCGCAAGATTCTGCCTGAGGATCAGCAACCCTGTACCAGTATTTTCTGTGAAGTACTGGACGCAAAAGAGAACGGCGGCATCGAAGAAGTCCATGCCGTTCACAAAGATACGGTCTATGACCGAAATGATGAAAGTACCTACGACTCTTATTCCTTACAAGAGCTGGAGAAGATAGTTATTGACAACGACCGATATATGCAGTGCAAGGTCTATGTCAAGGATATCAGGACGATTGATCAGTCATTGCTGAATAACGGCGTCGTCGACATCGCGCTGATTGATGCTCCTGGCTTAAACTCGGACTCGGTCAAGACCACGGCTGTCTTCGCCCGACAAGAGGAAATTGACGTGGTTGTCTTCGTGGTCTCAGCAGCAAACCACTTTACCTTGTCTGCCAAGGAGTTCATTTGGCAAGCCGCGCATGAGAAAGCGTACATCTTTATGGTGGTCAATGGCTTTGACAACATCCGCGATAAAGAACGATGTCAAAAGATGATCCTGGACCAGTTGGCCAAATTGAGTCCGCAGACATTCAAGGAGGCCGAGGAACTGGTCCATTTTGTGTCTAGCAACGCCATTCCCATGATACCTTCACTGCTCAACGATGGAGCTGCCAGTGGTGGCAGTGGCGGGGGCGGTGGGTCAGATCCTCCCGATGGAAACGATGACGACGATGGTTCAGACAAAGGCAAAGGAAAGGATAAGGAAAAAATCCGAGATTTCGAGGTCTTAGAGAGTGCGCTCCGGCGGTTTGTGTTGGAGAAGAGAGCACGCTCGAAACTCGCTCCCGCAAAGACCTATCTGATGAACTGCTTAGGTGATATGAATGTCCTTGCTACAGTGAACCGCGACGTTGCGCAATCAGAGCTGGACCGGGTATCCAAAGAACTTTCGGAGATAGAGCCGGAATTTGAAGAGAAGCAGAAACACCGCGTCACAGTTTCAGAACAAGTCGAAAAAGATATTGACTCTACGTCCACTGAGGTGTACAACCATACTCGATCGACTTTGACCAACACCATTGCCAATATCGGCAATCACAATCACGGCGTCGAATACCCTGGGATATTCTCTGCATTCCAATATGCGGAAGACTTGCGCATTGCCATGCTTGATCAAATTTCTGCCGCGGTTACCAGTTGCGAGAACTACGGTCGGACGAGGACTGTGCAGGGCGTCAACACCATCAAGTCCCTTGGCTTGTTACATGTTGGTAATAGTTACGAGAACCTCAACTTCGCAGCAGACAAAATGTTCCAGCGCCGCAAGGATGCGCTGGTACGGTCTGTAGACACGGACGTGGATATCTGGGACTTTTTCGACGTTGCTGGACTATGGGAGCGACAGGAGAAGACCGTTGGTACCGGGGTGGCTCTTACCGTTGCTGGCACACTAGGCACCAGAGCAGTTGGTGGTGTTGGTTGGATTGATGGTGCATTCGGCGCGGCTAAAATCCTTGGAAGTCGGAATCTGAGGAGATTGATTGTACCAGGCGCTGTTGCTGCGGGTGAGTTCTCCTGTCTCTTCGCAAATAACCGATTTCACCTAACAAGGTGTTCTTGCAGTAATTTTGGCGGTGACCTACGTTCTCTCCACCATCCCGCAAAGCTTGCCACCACGTCTTGCACAGAAACTCTCAGCCACTCTCGCCGAAATGGATTACACGCACAGCAATGCCCACCGGATAGCCTCCGAAGTCCGTCGCGTGCTTCGCTTTCCAGCTCAACAGCTAACAGCAGATCTCGCCCAGAATGTAGAAGAACTAAGACAAAGAAAAGAAGATGTGACAAAGACGAAGAAAGAGAGTGAGGTTGCGCGGAAATACTTTGGGAATCTTGTGCGGGAAAGCGAGGAGACGAGGAGGCGAGTGGCAGGGATCGATCTCGAGGGAGGTCCCGCTGGGGCAGTAGGTGGTTATGTTTTGTAACCGCGTGTGCTCGGCCTGTGATTCCGCTGTGAAAATGATATATTATGGAAAATGGAGGCGCCGATGGAGCATTACGACTATCATGGGCATGTATATGAGCGATGCTGGACATTCTCCTCTTGGTCTCGTCTTGACTACTGTCTGCTTGTACAAGTCCAGCTTCCAACCTCCGTGCAGTAAAATTAGCGATAATATGAAGCTTTTGTTCACTTCAAATATTTACCGGTTGGGGTTGGTTGTCTGCCTAATCTAGGACTACGACGGCTACCGTGGCTGATAGAGGCTGATGTTGAACCATGACGAAGACATGAATTATGGTTGCCTTGTCTCGCCCTGTCGGAAACAGCGGGATGGGAGACGCTAGTGCCGCCTAAAAAAGCTTAGAGAAATTGAGGTAGACAAGCGTGACAAGCGCGACAAGCTCAGTGGATCTCAACGGCCGCAGCCTCAAAGTTGACGTCATTTTGTTAGAGGTTCACCACGAGGATTACCCTCTGAGCCGATGTCGAAAATACCAGGTAAGTGGCATAGTGACGAGAAATAGCAATGAGGAGCGACTCACTATTGACATGAAGGTAACCATCACTAGGTATTATAAAAGCTTGATCCCTATCGATAACTTTACCTATATCTGATCTGACAGCCGCCTCATCGCTCTCGAGTAACCACCTAAATTCCCTGAGGGCCACTACTCTCTGTCTATCGGACTGTACTTTACGCCTTCAATCGGAGAAATCAGCAGAAACCCCCCAAGTCCGGCATCAAACCGCAATGACAGACCCTTCGCAACGTCCCAATCAGTATTGTTCCGAACAACAACCTGTGGACATGAATCATCCAGCTTATGTATACCAGCCACAAGAACAGCATCCAAGCTATCCACCGCCTCCCCCTCAGCCGCCGCGACCTCATGAAACCACGGCACCAGGATACGACACTTCGGGACCCCCCCTCCCACAGAGGCACAATGCCCAAGGAAGTTTAGATCTTGAAGCCCAAACGACATCTTATCCACCGCCGCCTGTGTACAATCCGGCTTCGTACGCACCCAGTCAGCAACACCAATTCCAACCGCCGCCCCAGCGCTACAAACAAATATTCGCCGCTGACGATGACCCTTCCAGCCTGGTCCATTATATCCGCGATCCTCATAAACTCGTAGGATACCTGGTCCCTTTTCCACGCCCGGTGCTTCCCAATGTTGATCCAGAAAGTATTCCAGCTCGTTTTGCGATCTACACGCCGCCCCCACCTCCATTGCAAAAACCGGCCGAGGGAGTGAAGGAAGGCAAACTGCACAAAGTCCAGCGGAAATGGCAAGAAGAAGTCCGTTCCGCAAAGAGCAGCACGGCCAAAACTGCCAGCTGGAAAGGTGCCAAATCTAAAGCGACGCGCGGGATCGATTGGGCTATACACAAAACCACAACCTCAAATTTAGATTTCTTGGGTCGTGTGTCTCCCGATCCACAGAAATCACATTCCGATGACGAGAGAGACCACCAAGACTCCGAAACACACAAGACGGTAGCGGTTGAGGAAATGGTCCTCATTTACCCACCCACCCTCAACCTCACTAACCAACAGATGCGTGAGGAATTCGTGAACACAATGCTACGTACCAAATCCAAGGCACAGAGAGATACTATCATTGCGACAGGCCTCATGCCGGTGGCTTACGGTATCGATATCCTCGCTACATTCATCTGGCCGTTCGGCGGACTGGGTGAGATCGACACTGTTTGGGCATACGCGAGCTTCCGTGGCGCAAAGACTGCAAGATCCGTGACGAAGAGGCTGGCTAGCTCCACTCAATCGTCGCCCAACCATGAAGACGAATCTAACAAGCTGAAACTCACATTTACACACTCCCAGCGTCTGGACGTCCTTCGCAGATATCTCGATGCGGAATGCCACAAGGCTGATTCCAAGCTTTTCCCGCATTATGAGCATTCTCCCACGGAAAGTGAAGTGTTGGAGGCAATAGGATGGACTCCCAGTCGTGATATTGAGGAGAAAAATTGGGAGGATGAACATTGGGAAATCCAGGAGGTCAAGGAAGACTTGAGGACCGTATTCAAGAAAGCAGCGAGTGAGTGGAGGAAGTGGTGCCGGCTGCTGGAGAAGAAGTAAGTTCTTTCCAAGTATTGTGCGCTGTTCCGGGATGTGACGTCCTATGAGACTTGTCTATGAGGCTAACCACCAAACAGTCCGGAGAAAGCGATGAAGAAATAGCATTGTGAGATCGCTATCGATGACTCGAGCCTGGGGTCATTGATTCCGGATATCTCATGCAATGGAAGACTGAACAACAACATCTGGATAAATTTGTGGATATATGTCCAATCCCTTTTCCTTTTGTGGCCAGCTTCACGACCCGGGCTGCAGTTTCTGGCGGTAGTGTTGATTTACACCTTCACCACATCCTTGGGCTTGCAGATGCCTGCCTCTCCCTTTACGCCAGAACTACCTCCGCTGCCGATACGTCCTTGCTCGACAACTCCTAAAGTCCCTTAAGTAATGTGTCGCACCGAATCTGCAAATCCTTGGCGACGCACGTATCCGCTACAGGCGTTAGGGTTGAAGCCCGACTCTCTGGTCAGCCGCCATTGAAAAATAATCGTGGATCAAAATAGGGAAATCTATTGAACAACGAGACAAATGGCCCAGCTGTACTGAAGGTTATGTCCCGAATTCTTGTGGAAGGTTTTGGGCTTCCTGTCGCAGAAGAGAGGCGCTCTAGGAGCCCGGATGTTGCTGTCCCATAATCTCACAGACAAGAAGTATACGGCTCTTGAGGTGATCCTCAACGTGAAATATGTCTTTCCGTCACTTCCCTCATGCACAGAGCGCTTCGGAAAGATTGTGTTATAGACGGGCTATCTCTACTTCACGGCGTTGCCCTGAGATAGGGCCTCTTTATCGTGATCTTTGGTCACCTCGATGGACAGCTTGGCAGCCTCGTCGCTTGACAGATGAGATCGATGATGGTCATCTGTGCGATTGGCTCCTCGGCCGTTGCTTAGGGGTTGCCAGCGTCACCATTTACCCCACCTCCCAGCGGCTGGCTTGATCAAGCTTAGCAGCTCTTTTTGACACCGTGTATCGCCATGAGTAAACATACTGGTAAAGAAAGCAATCTTTGTGAAATAGGATGGTTCATTGTTGCACAGCAGGTCGAGGGTTGGGTGGATAATATGACCAGTTTCTGCGAGATCCGTCTACTGCGATTCCTCATTGTACAACCAAGCACAAGGCCCACACCTAAGCATCCTCCACAGGCAAGGTGTACTCGTACAGTCAGGCTCGCTGTTCGGCAACGGAATTAACGCATTCAATGGCATTTAGGCAAAGGGCCCGCAGCCTGTTCGAAAGTTTGTAAGCCATGGAGACATAGTGGTCGCCGGATGAAAGCGAAGCGCGTTGATTCTCGCCACACAGGTTGGGGAGGGACAATGGCGATTGTTCTCACCTCTCCACGGTGCCACTTTTGAGTCTTGACTCCGCGTATTATGCATCGGTTGAACCGCGGCTGCCGAGCAACTCGGCCGAATTATTGTTACCACTAACCATTCACCCACTCAATAGGCCGGACAGCTGCAAGGGCTAAGCTTGACAGGTAGCCAGCGGGGCGGGCGCCTAATGAGATGAGATTGACTGTCTGGACTCGCCAATGGTGGAAACAGGAAGAGTCTCAGTCCCTAACGGCGTTCGGGGGTGAAGGTGTGCGCGGCGAGAAGAGTGAAAAATAGGTACGGAAAGGGAAGCCTGCACCTTACATACTTTGGTCTCCGGTTGTGCGTTTGTGGGTACATCTCAAGGTTAATAATGTAGATAAACACATCATTAGAGAATAAACTTGCAGGGGCTTGGGAAGATACATAAGTGAGTACAAGTAGCGAGTAATTATCTCGTAGTTATGAAGTGCTTGTAGAGTCTCTTGCTGCAGTTCCTGACTGGACTGCCTAACTCATCATATCACTAGCACGACAGCATCACCACCAGTGTGTGGCTGCGCCCCAGGGGGCAAAAATTGACGTCTGATGATGTGGTGGTTCGTCCTGGTGCGGCACCAAGCGGCACCCCCAGCATACCTCTGGGTGCCTCTCTGGTTCTCGCCCACCTTTGGTCTTCCCCTCCCCCACAAACCTGCGCGCACAACATTCGATCCGATTGAGAAGAGCAAAGGAGAGGTGGAAAGAACAGCACACAAGAAGGACGAAGACACATCCGCAAATCAAGCCACACCCCTCATTCATCCAACACTACCCATCGCAGGCACCCAATTTCATCATTCCATACCTACTACATTAGATTCTCGAACCGAATCGCACCCTACGCACTGCTACCTTCATCTTCTCATCCTCATCCTTTCCAAACAGTAGATTACTGCACTACTTAGTTGCCTCGCTCCCTCACTCCCTTACCTTCTCCCTCAAGCGAGTGCTATTCCTATCGACCTCATATTATTCCGCTCCTGTTTCTGCAATCAGCGTGATCAGCTTGCGACGCTGGTTCATCGGCCCTACATTGCCTCGAGTCGACTTATTCTTCTCGTGCTTGCACAGAGATACGCCCTCATCCATAACCTCCGAGGTACCACTACCAAGACCGGCACCTAATCCTTTGTACTCGTCGAATCGCCACCTTCGCTATCCTCACCACTTGTCTCTACTTCGCGCTCTTTGTTCAACCTCAAGCTACCTAGTATTGCTTCCTCCAGGCAGAGACTAGAACCCGGTCCGACCGCTATCTCTCCCATCCTACGTCAAGCTCCTCCCTCTTGTTTCTCAGGCATATTCGCGCGAGACGCTCCTGGTAATCGGTCCGAGGCTCTTTGCGCATTTCTGTCTCTTTCAAGCTGGCGGGCACAACCGATAGGAGAACCTCCTCGGGAGGCTTTCTCAATCGCGTCTTTGGAGGCAAGAAGGAGAAGGATACAGATTCGGAGAGCACACCCTCTCGAATAAGTACTGATAGCAACCACAATGGCACTACTTCCCCCGGTGGCAGCATTACAGTTAAGACTAACGACTTGAGCCCCAAGTCCGAGACTCGAAAGCCCGCAGACGAAGCCGCCGTTGCTTCGCCTTCTGCCGACTCCAAGAAGCGGAGGAGTAGCAGCGCCAAAGCTAAGGAGATCTTTACCCAGGCCAAAAATTCATTAATACACGGCGACAAGGACGGACCGCAAACACCGATGCAGAGACTATCCAAGACCGATGCCGCGCTCAGCGTGCCTCAAGGCTCGCTGAATAACTCGGCCGGCGAGTCGCAGCCTACACCAAATTCATCCTTCTTAGTTGGTGTGACCGAAGACAAGAACAAGAAATGTCGTCGTACCATGGAAGACACTCATTCATATCTTTACAACTTTCTCGGTACGCCGGCGCCGGTTCTCTCTTCCGACAGCTCATTATCCAAGAAAAGTTCCCGAGAAGATCGGAACAGTCTCAGCACCATCGCGTCCAATCCTGCCCAGCATGTGGTGGAGACCGACAATGGCTACTTTGCCATTTTTGACGGGCATGCGGGCACCTTTGCTGCCGAGTGGTGTGGGAAGAAACTGCATGTCATCCTGGAAGAATTGATGCGCAAGTACCCCAACACACCCGTCCCAGAATTGCTTGATCAGACATATACCACCGCCGACAACCAATTGGAAAGGTTGCCACTCAAAAACAGTGGGTGTACTGCGATCACGGCAGTGCTACGCTGGGAAGACCGCGTTCCCACCAACCACTCTGCGACGGGGTCTCAGGCTATCGCATCCTTGGCCGCGGCCGCAGCCAAAGAAGCAGAGAAGAATGAGAAAAACAACGAGTCATCGAAAGACGGAAAAGACTCGACGCCTCGGTCGAATTCAACGGCTGAAGCGGCGGCGGCAGCGATTCAGGAAGCGAAACAAAAGGCTACGCGACAGAGGGTGCTGTACACCGCTAATGTTGGTGACGCCCGGATCGTCTTGTGCCGCAACGGGAAGGCACTCCGTTTGTCGTACGATCACAAGGGGATGGACGAAAACGAGGGACGAAGGATATCGAAAGCCGGAGGGTTGATATTGAACAACCGGGTGAATGGAGTGCTAGCGGTGACGCGAGCATTGGGCGACTCATATCTAAAAGACTTGGTAACCGGACATCCTTATACGACCGAGACCGTGATTCAACCTGACCAAGACGAGTTTTTGATCTTGGCCTGTGATGGAGTAAGTTCATGATACAAACCAATTGCCCACCTGTGGCATGTCATACTGATGCGCAATAGTTATGGGATGTCTGCTCAGATCAGGAAGCGGTAGACTTGGTTCGCAACGTCCACGACCCTCAAGCTGCGTCCAAAATGTTGGTGGACCATGCGTTAGCCCGTTTCTCGACCGACAACCTGTCTGTCATGGTGGTGCGCTTCGATCCGCAAAAGCTTCAGCAGAACACCAAGATGGACATTGGAGTAGAGACAGAAACAACCAAGGACAAACTTGCGATCAGTGAGGTGGAAATGCTCGTGGGAGAAGCACGTCGGCACTCTCTGGCCCAAGAAGGGCAAGTTTCCGACCAGGACTCGGAAGAATTGAGGCAGAGCGTGATCCAGGAACAGGATGAAGAAGACCAGGAGACCGGGCCAGAGTACACGCCGGAGGGACAGACTGAAGCTGAGAAGATCTTGTCGGAGAAGAAAGCGGAGCAGGAGAAGCCCAGTGAAGGTTGAGTTGATGTTGGGTGCTGTCTGGGGTAAATCTACGGAAGGAGAAGATGACTTGTCTGGCACGAGATGGTGGGCCAACGCACGCACAGAAGGCGATGATGCACCACTCACCGCTGCCGAGATGGAGAGTCTACACCAAATAACCCCGTGTTATTGAGACGGATATCAAACCTTGACTGGTCCACCCCATCCTGATCTGTGGTCGGTCTTGGATAGACCAAGCCTTGATCGGAGATGAGTAACAATCTGAGACGATTGAAGCACTTTCAGGATGCATTTCCATGTTACCGGAGAAAGGGCGCGACCAGCAGACCAACAGTGGAGAGATTCAGCAGCGGAGTTTTCGAAAACGGCAGATGAGGCACAGCAAGCATAGTGAGATTTTGTTCTTAAACTCTTTTCTCAGATCAGAGAAGGGCTTGACTGAGTGCTTGACCGGTGTCTGGTGGGAAGACTCTGAGAAGCTCTGTGCTTGAATGATAAATTTTGTTTTTGATCCAAAGGACGTTCTTGAGTATTCTTTTCTCTTCGTTAATACCACCGTGAACCAGTAAGTGGGACGGTCGAGGTTGAGACAAGGCTGGATGGGAATAATCAAAAACGGGTACTAGAGGTGTCCGGGCTAATGGAGGCGGGGACAAGGGATTGGTCCTTTTGGTACGGGACAATCTGGTTCAGCGTGAAGTGTGCTAGTTAGGAGTGTCTTGTATCCACCTCTTTCTGGGCTATCGCCTCTGATCCCATTCAGCCGAGTTTGGCGCATGGATAGACGGGCAGAGACAGGTTGACTTATTAACGGGCGGCAACGGAGACTCCGTATTATGTAAGGGCGTTCTCAACTGGAAGACTGCCTCATGGTCAGTATGATCCATGGGGCCGGATGGGAGCAAGGATGCAGGAGGTAGAGCGGAGCGGAGGCCGAAGAAGTCACCGAAGTGATCGAATATGGGATAACGTGGGGGCGTGGACTTGGAAGTAATTAGTTGGAAAAGGTATCCCATCATCAGTATGCATGTACCGAGTACTTGGTACGTCAACGAGGGCGAGGGAGAAAGGATGAACAAGGCGAGTGATTGTGTGGTCCAGTCACGGATCTGCGGAACAGTTTCTGGACTAGGTACGATACCCAGTGTTGCCAATCGTCGGGAGCCAAAGTGTTATTACAGGCTTGGTACCGGGTGCTCGTCCAGGTCAACTCGGTAGTAGCCCTAAATTGCCAGAAAACGTTAGTGGAGAATGCCATTCTGCCCTCTTAGGGGGTCTTACTCGTTCTAGTCCTGGTCTGTACCGCAGGCCCGTGCACCAGGTACTTCCTAGTAGGTATTACCTTGCCTGAGGAAGGACAATCTAGCCGCTTATCATCATCTTCAGCTCCAAAGCTTCCCTCCTCAAAGTACGAGGTACACGAGTATGAGTAAAACAAGAATGTCCTACGACCCACTCCAACCCCAAAAGGCTACCATGGAGCTCCTTTGTAATACGGTCCTAGTTCAAAAAGTAGCGATCTACCTGTATGACTCCAATCGCCTCAGACCCTGACGTCCTCTGAACTTTTTCCCTTTTCTCCAAAAATATTAATCTCTGGCCTCTCGAAGCTGGTTCCTCTGCAACTTTCGCTCAACATCCACCCTCAGCGTTTACCCATTCTTCAAATTCTCCCTCGATCCTCTTCTTTCTTTTCTCTCCTTGTCTTCGTCTGATCTCCTCATGGGCTTCGTGATCTTTCCTTAGCCCTTCTCCTCCAACCCGTCTCGACCGCTGCGACCGCCATGGCGAGCAAACTTCCACTGCGCATGATGCCCAGCTCTCCAATGGCGTCACTCAGGCCTTGGTCAATGCGAGCTTTCTCAACATGTCGCCGTTCAACTCTCTCGCTTCCAGTCGCCTCCAGATCGTCCTCCCTGGTATCCAGGCCACTGATTCAGCAAACCTTCCGTCGTAACTACGCCGACGCTCCCCAAGTCCAGCTGTCTCCAGAACCCAAACCGAAGAGGCGCTTCCGATTCTTCCTCTGGACCTGGCGCTTGACCTATCTTTCCGTGCTTGCCGCCCTGGGATACACTGCTTATCAGGTCTATGAGGGTCGCAATCCAAAAGAGCAGGCTGATCCCGATCCAAGCAAAAAGACGCTCGTTATCCTCGGTGCGCAAGCTTCCTCCCACAGAAGCTGGTCCTGAATGCTGACATGGTCTAGGTACTGGTTGGGGTTCCGTCTCCTTGCTTAAAAACCTTGACACGGAGAACTACAATGTCGTCGTCGTCTCGCCCCGGAACTACTTCCTCTTCACTCCTCTGCTACCCTCGTGTACCACGGGCACCATTGAGCACCGATCCATTATGGAACCCATCCGGAACATCCTCCGTCACAAGAAGGCAAAGGTTAAGTACTACGAAGCTGAATGCACAAAGATCGACTACGAGAAGAGGATCGTCTATGCTAAGGATGACTCGGAAATCAAGGGTGACACCATGGAGACCGAGATTCCCTTCGACCTGCTTGTCGTGGGTGTCGGAGCAGAAAATGCCACATTTGGAATCCCTGGTGTTCGTGAGCATGCCTGTTTTTTGAAGGAAGTTGGTGATGCTCAAAAGATCCGCAAACAAATCATGGATTGTGTCGAAACGGCTACTTTCAAGGATCAAAGCCCCGAAGAAGTCAAGCGTCTTCTCCACATGGTGGTCGTCGGTGGTGGTCCAACTGGTGTCGAATTTGCTGGTGAGCTGCAGGATTTCTTCATGGAAGACTTGCAGAAATGGGTTCCTCAAATCAAGGACGATTTCCATGTCACTTTGGTCGAAGCTCTGCCTAATGTGCTTCCTATGTTCAGCAAGCAACTCATCGAGTACACGGAATCTTCGTTCAAGGAAGAGCACATCCAGATTCGCACAAAGACCATGGTCAAGAATGTGACCGACAAATACATTGAAGCCGAAGTCCAGAACCCCGACGGTTCGAAAGCGCTTGAGAAAATTCCCTACGGACTGCTCGTCTGGGCTACTGGTAATGCTCTCCGTCCCGTGGTCAAGGATCTCATGTCCCAGATCCCAGCTCAGGCGAAAGCTCGCCGTGGCCTCGAAGTCAACGAATACCTTGTTGTCAATGGCACCGAAAACATCTGGGCAGTTGGCGACTGCGCCGTGGCCAACTATGCACCCACTGCTCAAGTCGCTGCCCAAGAGGGAGCTTTCCTGGCTCGTTTGTTTAACACCATGGCTAAGACAGACGCTATCGAGGCCGAACTGCGCGACTTGTCCTCCAAGCAGGCTACTGCGAACCCCGAGCAGCGCAAGGTCATCCTGGAGGAGATCAACGAGCGCCAGCGCCAGCTCCGTCGCATCAAGCAGATCGGGCCATTCAGCTATTCGCATCAAGGATCGCTTGCGTACATTGGTGCTGAGAAAGCAGTTGCCGATGTGTCTTGGTTCAGCGGAAATATTGCCAGTGGAGGTACCATGACGTACCTATTCTGGAAGAGCGCTTACCTGAGCATGTGCTTTAGCAGTGAGTATTATCCCATTACCATTTCCCTAACCATCCTTGCTGCATCTGTGGGGGTTTGGCTGACATCTGTGACTTGCCAGCGCGCAACCGCATCCTAGTCTTCTTTGACTGGGCCAAAGCCAAATTCTTCGGCAGAGACGTGTCGAGAGAGTAGAGGCAAGACTGGAAACGTTCAATGGCACGTAACCTAAGGAGCCATATATGCGCTTCCGCGAAGCAGCAATGAATCAACACAAGCCCTCGACACCTGACTTTCGGCTTACTAGGCCTCTGGACGATTGGGTTCTGGCGAGGTATCCACGCTATTCTTCGCAGGGATTGTTTTTGGGGTTCTCTCGGAATGAGCAAAAAAACCCACACACTGTTTGAACTTATAGATGGCCGCGTTGTTTTGGGGGCCGAGCCCTGCCTGTATGGTTACTTACCCTGTTGTTGTTTTATCGTTTTTACGCTGAGCAAATCCCCATTTTTGCGCCTCTTAATGTCGGCATGTGTCGGACAAGATCGTCTGGCATCCCGGGCTCTGCATGTGAGATTCATCAAACGATCTAACGCGTCTATTTTTCCAGCAAAAACCTGCCAGTAGCTAATAATCGCTCGCGTGCTGTTTCTAAACCTACTCGACCTGATGAGAGCCGCATTCGTTCGAGTCGGAGATGCGTTCCTCGTATAATATTTGCATCTCCTAGTTTCTGTCTGCATCTTTTTTCCAACTCGAGGAGGAAAAATGCCGCCGGAAAGGACATTGGTGTACGAGATATAATACATATGTTCCGCCTTCCCCTCACCACAACTTATCTCCTTCCTTCCGTTTCGCAGCCCTGCCACTCCTTGCGCTCTCTCTTTTCAGGGCCTTCAGCTCCTCTTCGCTGATTGGAGGCTTGAAATACAGGCTGGCGCTCTCGCCTTCCTTCACCATATGGCTCAAATAGCCGCGATGTTTCGCGTCCCTATAATATTCCAAGTCTTTCCGTGAGCTTGGATCTGGTAGTCTGTACTGGAAGCCCATGCCCCTGGCACGATTCTCGGCAGCCTCGGACCCTTCTACAGCCAGGTGAGGGTTGTTCAGCGCTGAAGGATTCCACCGGAGAGAGAGGAAAGGATGAGTTTGGCTGCTCTTTATACGGCGTATCGATTGCTCGGTGTAGAAGCGTGTTGTCACCGTTCCACCCACGGCCTCCACTGCAGCAATGGCAGATTGGGACGCCCTCGAGACAACAATGTGGATGGGTGTTTTGAGCTCTGAAGCCCCGTTGCCGAGAAGTTTCACGCCATCCTTGATGCGACCAAGCACGCCGGAGGAGCAGAGTTCTTTCAGTGTGATGGGATGGGAAGGGTCCAGGCGTCCTTGGTCGATCCAGGATTGAATCTTGTCCAAATTGATTGGGGACATTTCATTGGCAAATCTGTAGGCCACACGTCAATTCAACTTCACCATTGTGAATGGGGGCAGGGCAGACAGACAAGTTCTTAAATCCATATTTTCCGTGCACAATGTGTTCGGGTGTTTGACCACCATTGAACCCTTCAGGCACTTTGCTATGCTGTTTCTGCCCATCAGACCCGCGACCGGACTTGCCTCCTTTGCCAGAAGCAGGACCTCGTCCGCGACGAATCCTCTTGTTATAGGCCCCGGGCCGATCGGATAGGGAGGTTAGGATTGAGGCATATCGGCGTTGCGGAGGCGTTTGGGACTCCGTTTGGAGGAAAGGGAGGAGGAAGGCAGGAATGGAGGAGCTTGTATTTGCTAATTTTATATTGACGGCATCCGGGTGCAGTGCCGTCGATGGCGAGAGCCGCAGGGGTAGTCGAGGCGGCATTGTCTGGTCGGAGTGAACTGGTCTTTCCAAGATCTTTCATGCTCTGCGGCCGGAGTGAAAGCTCTAGCATTGACTGCTGAGGCATAGTTGCCCTTTACGGCCGCCAAGCGCTAGATGCCAAGACTCGGACATTTCCCCTGTTGCGATTCAAGTGGAGCAATGGATTCAGTGAGAGGTCTGAAATGGCGCATGATTTCTCACAGTTGTTATGAGAGAGGAACTCTTGACGAATAACTTCATATTTGGGAAGAAGAATACAAAGTTGCCAATGTCATGACCCTTGCTCGGCTCAGCCTTGCTCAGCCTCGCCGTGTGACGGAACTGGCGTAGACGAAAAAGTAGCTTTACGTTGACGAGGGGGGAATGGCCAGATCAGAGTATCGCATATGTCATACTTTACATGAGAGCAAGATTCATATCAGACTGCTACTTGCTCCTCGACCTAGGTCGCTCATCAGAGACTCGAGCTTACTCCTCTTCACTCGTTGATGTTCCACTCCAGCCAACCAACACCTTTACGACCATCGTTAGTGGTGATTGTAGCCCAAGAGCGTGGAAATTTGGCAACTCGCCCGTCTTTCGCCATGAGACAGAGAGGAGCATGTCCGACAGGTTTCACATAGAAGGTGAGTGGCAGAGGAGCCATTGTGATGGTCGTTGACACGCCCAAGCCGTTGGCTGCCATCTCAGCTGCTGCTTTGACATCATTCATTTCGACCAGGGGCTCTCCTTCTTTCTGGACATACCCTACACCAAGGTGGGGATAGTCTCCTCCTCGAGCTTTGGCATGCACGAGGTGGCTGTGAGTACCGTCGTCAAGGTGGAATGCAGTCCACACCCAGTCGGCGGCCCACCAGTCTCGAGGACCCCAGGAATGGTCCCGCTGGCCTCTAGCCTTGGTGAAGGTGAATGAATGGTCGTCCCACGAGAACGTGCCAGTGACCTTGCAGGGGATCTCATATCTGGTGGCTCGGCGCCACTGATATGGCTGTCCGTCGGTTTCGAAGAGGAGATCCATCTGGACATCAACGGGTCGCCCGGCGCCACCCTGCAAGATTGCCGCCGGGTCGTCGAATGCCACTCCTTTCCCCTTCACAGTGGTGCGATATTTTAGGAGAGGCACTTCGGCTTCATGGGTGGCCGTGTATTCTCCACCATGAACAACCAGGTCCTTTGCTGGATGCGGTGCTTCGAAGTCGATGACTCCTACTGTGGGTATGTGAGGCCCACAGATCAACGCGTGGTACCACGAGCCGCTTTGGTTTGGAATGACCCCGAGTCTCACCCACACTCCGACTTGCTGGTCTATGTCAACCACGTCGAAATACCAGCTCTCGTTGTGAAGGGGATGGTCACTGAACGGATGCATCTCTTCGTCCAACTCTTTCGGCTCTAGATGGGGGACAGGAACCGGTGGTGGCAGCACCTCAAGCGCCTTTGTATCGACGACGTGTTCACAGCTCCGTTCGAACATGGTCAGGAACAGATCGTCTCCTCGAGTTGTCCTCTCAACCAGACTGGCCGCCGTGATGGCTTGACGCATTCCTGTAAAGCTGTGCATCCGGACCCCCGCCTTGCATTCATGGATACTGATCGGGTACGGGGAACTTGCAGAGAGCGCCTCATGATATATCTTCAACAGCCCCTCTCCGTGCTCACGGCGAAACTCGGGCGTTACGGCTAGGCCTAAGAAGTACGATGGGTCGTGAAGGATAGGTCCCCAATAGCACGTCTGCCAGTCCACCAGGGTCAACGGCATGCCTCCGCTGTCTCCGAACAGGATATTGTCGAGTCGGTAGTCTCCATGGACGAGCCCCCTTGGGGCGGAAGAGGCATCCAGGCCGGCATGGTACACCTCGAAGCTGTCGATGAATTTCTGGCCGATTTCGCGGTGTTCTGGCTTGATGCGATCTCCGTATCGCTCCTTAAACCGTTTCCAATACTCGACCATATTCTCGGTCGGCGCCCATGGTCTTGTCCTCCTCATCCAGCCGTGCTTCTCCACAGACACATGGTTCAAGATCAACCCGTGGAGTCTTCCCAGCTCCGACATGGCCAAGCTGGCCTCCTCAAGCGTTGCTCCGCTGATGTCGCTGCCCACTCTCCCAGCATTGTCACTCATCAGGATGACAAACTCCCCGGACTCTTCGTCCCTTTCTACCCGATAAACAGTCGGGATGGGCCCCGTCGTCATCAGCGGGGCCACCTCTTGGTAGAACCGGACTTCTCGCTGGTACAGACCAGAACTGAGCCCGAAAGCCTTGCAGTCCGCGTCGAGGGATGCCATTTTCGCCACCACCGAAGCCGGTCCTGCTCGTGTCTTTACGCCATACTCGAGCTCGATGCGATATACCTCGCCGATCTGGCCAGTTCCGATCCGGACAGGCCTGGCCCCGACCACGTCGAAGCCCAGGGCCTTTGAGAGCCACTTTGGCGAGAGTTCGAACTGTGCGGCAACCATGACTGCGAGAACAAAGGTCCCTATCCGGTGCCACCTCGAAAGAGGATTCTCGGTAACTTTTACATATCGCTCGCTCCCACGCGAATCTAACCCCGGAGTCAGGCGGGGTCGCGGTTACGACGTTGCAAAGCGCTCGATTCCATCACCCATGCATGGGAGTTTGCGGGGTTCCAATGCACAATATCACCAGCTACCGAGGCCGAGGCACGTACCCTATTAGACAGGCAGCCCATTGTCAGGGATTGAGAGCAGGTCTATTCTGGGGCGTCTCTGACTGAGACATGTTGACTCGGGAAAAGTGGGTTGGAAGTGCTATTGGTATGCGTACATGCGTAAAAGGCTCTGAACCCGTGACGCTGTGAGTCAATCCCCTTGACGCGGTTGACAGGGGATTGGTGCATCATACTGTTATTTACACTCAAGAGTGGTTAAGCATAATATATGGCAGAGCCAGTGCAAATTCATCGAGGCCAACCCTTCACAATACACGTGATTGTAGTACTATTTCCCAGACCTGAGAAGTCTCAAGGCGTTTTCCTTTCGGTAAAGACGAGGTTCAAAGGTGGACAGGCTAGAGTAAACCCATCAGTCATGTCCCGAGTGAACCTGGCTGGATCCTCCCCTTGTGCCAGAGCGAAGTCGTAACGGTGGACTATGTAAGCCGTGACATATCGTAACTCCATCAACGCGAGCTGTTTGCCAATACAGCTATACGGGCCTGATGTTGAAAGCGTTTTGTTAGCTAACTGCGCCCAACGTGATCTTTCCTTTCGTTGAAAAGTCGTGGATGGCTGGACTGCAAAATCAATGTCGTGGACTTACCTGACGAAAAGGGAACAAAAACAGAGGCATCCACGGTCAATTCGGGGTTTGTGGTCCATCTTTCAGGGAGGAATTCCTCTGGTCTTTTGAAATTTCGTTCGTCTGCACCATAATGAGAACATATTCACTTGCTCCGGCCTCAGAAGTGTTATGAACAGAGAAACATACCTCTGAACACAGTGTATAGGGGGACATATACAATCGTGTTCCCGGGCACAAAGGTGTCCCCAATCATCATCCCTTCGGGAGGTGTCAATCGCTGGACTCCTGAAGGTACGGGAGGATGAAGACGTAATGTCTCATTGATGAAAGCATCCAAGTGCTTGCTCCTCGAGAGTGCTCCAGCATCAACCTCGTTGGACTCAAATAGCGGATCCACGTGCTCCCGGAGCTTAGTCAATAAATGGGGTTCTGTTGACAGATGAAAGAAGAGCGTCGTCAGAGTTGCGGCGGTGGTATCGCTGGAAGATGCTGTCAGATGTAGTCTTTAGGAAAACAACGATCGGCACTTTAGGAGGAGGAAGAGGATATTCATTACCTCCCAGCAACGACAATCAAATAGGCATCTGCCTGAAGATTCAGCAGGCTCTGGGCCGTCTTCGGGTCTTGCTTTTCATATTCCTCAAGCAGATAAGAGAATACATCCGGCTTGTCAGGCTTCATCTGGGGGGCATTAGTCAGAGAGAGGGACGTTCGCTTGTTACTCGATTGAAACCCACCTTCATCCTCTCGTCCACTTGACTATTGACGAAGTTCCAGAATCTCTTATGCTCGAAATTAAGGATCGGTATGGACCTGAAGATTGGAGCGACCCATACAACGTGTTTAAAGTAGCCAGCCATGGTCATATTTGTCTTGAGAGAGTTCATAAAGTAGTGCTTGACGCCATTCTTAACCATATCGAAAGATTTTCCAAATGCTAGGTCGCCCATAACATCAAAGCTGTAAAAGTTGAACCAGTCAGTGACATTTAATGGTGTGCCCTTTTGCGACTCGATAGCATTCATCAGTCCCGTGGTGTATGAGACGACCCGGGGTTCATAATCGCGAAGACCTGAGGATTCAGCACATTAGACTTCAATGAACGAGGCTTCCTTGAGGAGATCCAGGTGGAGGTTACTTTTGGCACCAAAGCCTCGATCCCAAACTTTCCTCCTGTGAGAATGCTCCTGCTTGTCTCGGCTGTTCTGCAGAGCCACCCGTGGTCGCATTCCATTATACCAAGGTCCCTTCGTGCAGGGAGTCTGCGCCGAGTTTACTGCTTGAATCGCCCGAGGATCTGCAATAGACAACTCCATGGGTCCTGGTCAAAGGTCAGCGTCCGAATTTCCTTTCGTCTCGTGGGAGGCGAGGGTCTACCAAGTCTCACAAAATCTCCATACTGTCTGTGCAAGGCTTGGACCTCTTCATAAAGATGTAATTTGGACCTGACGGAAAGTGATGTTGGATATATGGTAGACAGCCGTGCCCAGAGGGGGCCCGGAAACCTGGAGAGCCGATGGAAGAATCCACGATATATCAAGATACTAGTGAACGTGCCTACTAGAACGCACATGCCTAGCGCCGACACATGGAGCACTGCAAGGAGGACTGCTGTCCATGATGGCGTATATGCAGTCAAGAACCCAAGGAGAAGCAACTGCGTGGTGAAAAAAGCCGAGATCAAAGACGGTGCAGATGAGTCCCATTCGCCATAACGTAACAGTGTCAAATGGAGGGTGACACCCAACAGTACCGCCCACAGGTAGCTTTGTGGAGACTGCAGAAGTGTAAGGACGTCCATGGTCGACATTGAGCGAATGCAGGACTTTCACCTGGGCGACTATAACGACAGAGTGAGATAGGTAGAACTGGCATCAACTAACATTAATACCTCTGTATCGTGACATTGAAATGCTTGTTAGGAACAGCATACTCGTATCGCCTGGCTTAGCTAGTCGGGACTGTTGACATCGTGCACCTGACGTCCGTCTGCAGGGACAGCCATCGCTACCCTGACATAGCATGGATGGTCATCATCCAAAGGCCAATCACGGTCGTGTCTGCAAGACTGGGGATGGAAATGCGGGGGCAAGGCCACCAAGGCTTAGTTTTATCCGAGGATACGGGAATAGCAGACCAGACGATACTTCGTCCACTTGTCGGCAGTTTGCTGCGTCTGTTGTTGATGGAGAGTATGTCCTGTTCGCCACGGGAGAGCAACCATGACCGAGTTTGACTTTTTGAGTGACTTGGGGACGTTGTAGTGGGGAGACACTGTTTTCTGGTAGAGCCTCTCCGAACCTTATCGGCTGTCCAGTCATCCAAACTTCCTTACCAAGAAGATGCTTCCTTATCTCTACCTGCATCTCTCCAGGCAATGAGCAAATTGTCCATGTCGAACCGGGCAGTGGTTAGCAAGGCTAATCCCCCTATTTCATTTTGCCTTGGCAAACCTGCAAAGATGGTGGTACTCGCGGTGCGGTGCTTGTTAGGCCTATAGCAACAGAGGCGTGAAGCGAGATCCTCTTACAGCGAAGCCAGTGGAGTCGGTTCGACAACAAGGTATCGCCATGTGTGATGTTGTTGGAGGGTATCTAGGCGGACAAGGTGTAGGAGACAATCGAGCTTTGAGCTCGGAGTTCATATTCATCGCAGCTGGACAGTCTCCGTAATCAATGTGGCACCATGGGAGACCGTGAATATGTGCCTGGAGCTTGGTAAGGCAAGACGATGAGACTGGTCGGTGGCTCATATTTCATCTCAACTCACCTCAGTTTCGCTACTGTGCCGAGGAGGGCTGTAGAGAAGCGGCAGAAGTAAGACTTGGTTAAAAGGAGCGCAGCCTTGGGTGGCCAGAGTGACAAACTGCGGCCCCAGTCATGGTTGGTGTGATTATTCCCTCCAGTCCGCCAATGGGAATCGCCTCTAGAAATTCTCATCCGCCACATGCGAATTCCCCCCTGCACCCTGTAACCTGCAACTTGCCAAACTGCGCAGCAGGTTCCTGTATCACCTCCTGAAGAATCCATCACTGGAGTTCAACTTCAACAATGAGTCAATTAGACTCTCGCTGCCTGGTGGCATAATTACTGCATTGGACTTGCATCGTCTATATTGTCCCTTATCCAACAGTTATGACCACGTAGGGAGACTCCGAGACCCTTTGGTAATATACGTTTCCCATCAACTACCCCAGCCTCTGGAACAATGGGCCCCATCGAGTTTAACAAGCGACGCATCATCCTGCTCATCGCCAGCATCATCGCCTTCTACATCGTCTTTCATGGCCTTTCACCCTCTGGTGACAACTTTCGAGAAGTTGCTTCCCACATCCCCATCCCAGGCCATTTGAACCCAACCGAGCACAAACTTCCCCCTCCAGCGCCCGATCCAGACACGATATGGGACCTAGGTCCCGATCCATCTCCTCCACCCGAGCCTGAGCATGAACTCGAACATGACACCGATAGCGAGAAACCAACACCTCCCCAATCGCAACCCGTGGAGCACTTCGACTTACACCCCATTGCACAGTTGATGCGGGAAGCCGATACTGAATGGCGGACTTACGAGACCGATATCTCGACAACATTTAGGCAGACAGTGGAAAAATATAGAAGCAAATATGGCAGACATCCTCCGCCGGGATTTAAAGACTGGTATAGGTTCGCACGAAAGAGGAACGTATTCAACATTGATGATTTTAACCAAATCATGGACGACTTGCGCCCCTTCTGGGCCATCAATGCGTCTGTGATCCGGAGCCACGCTGCCCATATGTGGGAAAATCCTGACTTTGGAGTATCCGTCCTTCATATCCGCAATCACAAGGTGGTCAGGGTGGACAACCCGAGTTGGAGGTCTGAAACCATGGAGAAAGTCATCGAGAAGTGTATCAAATTCCTTCCCGACATGGACATCCCCATGAACAGATTGGATCAACCGCGTCTGATCGTTCCTTGGGAGGATATGCAAGAGTTTCTACAAAAGGAGTACCACACACGTGTTATGGCACCCGAAGTCACCGACAGCTTTACGAAGGATCTACCAGAGCTCCTGGATATGAGCATCGAAGACAAGGAACTCGACCACTCCACAAGACTCAGTGAGGACTGGATATTTGCTCCTGGCAAGCAGTACATGAATCTCGCCGCCAAAGGCTGCCCCCCAGAGTCCCCGGCACGGGCAAAGATGTCTGTCGCCGAGGCGGATGCTTTGTACAAAGAGCCCAAGCTCGGGTTTGTGAAGAACTTCAACCTGTCGACCGATCTGTGCACGGTGGGTCCCACTATCCAGGATTTGCACGGTATGCTGTATTCAGCAAGCAGCGTCATTGCCTCCCACAAGCTGGTGCCCATCTTCGGCGAATGTAAAGTCAGTGTCAATAACGATATTCTCTTTCCAGCAAACATGTACTATCAGCATGATGTGCGATATGATTACAATGGGGAGGAAGACGTCGATTGGCGCGATAAGCAAGATAATACCATCTGGCGTGGCGTCACTTCGGGTGGTGTCCAGCTCGAGGATAACTGGGACAGAATGCACCGACAGAGACTTGTTCAGCTTTTCAACGGCACGTACATGCAAATGACTGGCAAAGAGGTCAAAACTCTGACCGAAAAAGACGACGGACCGGGCAAAGTGAACACTACTTATGAGCTTTATGATCGGTTCAAGCCTTCCGAATTTGCCGACCGCCATAGCGATATCGGATTCACGGAGCCGATGTCCTGTCTCCCTAATTGTTCTTTCTACAATAGCGTGTTCTCTTGGAAGCCACAAGTCCCGCTTACTTCACAATTTAAATCGAGATACTTGATCGACGTCGACGGGCATTCATTCTCCGGGCGTTGGCACGCATTCCTGCAAAGCAAGAGTCTCGGACTCAAAGCCACCATCTTCCGTGAGTGGCACGACAGTCGACTTCTAGCATGGCGCCATTTTGTTCCCGTGGACAACCGATACGACGACATCTACGGACTCCTGACATATTTTATTGGATATGGCAAACCTTACAAACAACATGCCGAGGAAGGCGAAGACTTGAATCCGCGGGTCTTCATTGCTCGGCATGATAGGGAGGCACAGACGCTCGCTCGGCAGGGTCGCGAGTGGGCAAACAAGGTGCTTAGGCGGGAGGATATCGAGGTATACATGTTCAGGTTACTTCTGGAGTATGGACGCTTGATTGACGACAATCGGGACTTTATTGGCTATTCTGGTGATGGCAGTGAGTTGGACAAATTTGATGAGGGTGAAGAGGACGAAGGCCGCTGGGGTATCGGAGGATGGTGAACAACCATGGACAGAGACGCCCTCAGGAGAATGACGGAGACTTCATTCCCCAAATGAGAGCCGGATTCACGTTCCGCAGAGAGTATCCTGCTTTGCATTTCGACTCACCAGTCATCTAGTGTGGGGAGAGCAGGATCACCACCGATGGCAATGCCCAGTAACTCTACAGAGCACAACACTCTGATTGCTCTACCAGCTTGATGCCGTTTGCGAAGGTCGCGGCAGGTCACAACTACTACGGATGACTTACCACTTGTTTTGAAACAAGACGCGGACCTTGGTTGTCAGTTAAAGAGTCCATGGCTGGATGGTGGCGAAGGAGACTCGGAGCAAAAAGGCTGGTAATGTACTATCAATAAAACCCACAGATTATGGGACAGTTTTGGTTCCTTTTCTGGCCGGCGCAATCCCAATCTTATGGGGATAGAGACTATGGTATAAGAAGGAACGCGATGGGCATCGCAAATAAAACTGTCAAAACAGGTCGTCAAATCAATCAACAAGAAGTTGACCAAAGTGTGGCTTCCGTTGTCGTCTATAAGTGCTATGGATGTATCGCTAGACGGAGGTTCCTACTTCTTCAACTTCTTCTTGAGCCTCTTCTCGGCCCTCACGTCCTTCTTCAACCGGGCGTCCACAATCTTGTATTTGCCCTTGACGCCCCTCGGCCGTCCAGCGACGCCGCGATTCGCACCTCTCGCGACCACCAGCTTGACCTTCTCCTTTGGTCTCCCCTTCTTGGCCGCGCGGGCCATCATTCTCGAAATGGTCGAGGCCTTGTCCTTTTCGCTCACGCCCTCGTCTTCGAGCAACAGCGCGGATTTCTTGCGAAGCTTCTCCAGCCGCTGAGCCGCTTTCATCTTCTTCCGCCCTTTGGCCTCCAGGACCTTCTTGATGGGCCGGGCATTCAACGCGCGCAGCTTTTCTTTGATTGCCGCCGCGGCGGCCTTCGTGATCGGTCTAATGGGGCGAGAATGTCGGTCTTCGTCGTCCAAGAACCAGTCGGGGAGACCGTCAGTATCGCGGAAGGTGTATTTGTTGAAATTGTCGTCGATCAGGTCTTTGGCTGTGGTTTCCTTAGTTGCGAGGGAGTGTGCAAGCGTCATGGCTTCCGCGGTGATGATGTCGACGTCCAAATGGCCGGACGGTGTCAATGGGTCTTCGGGTCGCGGAGGCTTTGTAGTGGAAGAGGTAGATGGTTTAATCGTAGCCTCAGCCTCGGATTCGGATTCATCATCTGCGGATTGAGACGACGGTCGTTGTTTGTTCAATGCTGGCTTGAGCGACTTGTCTTGCTGCTCTTTTGATGTACGGGCCTTCGTGGCTGTCCGGTCTGCGTGGTCTGACGAGTCGTCGTCCATCTCAATTGCACTGTCCTTGTCCAGGTCTTCTTGTTCATCGTCAATGCCCAAATCCTGGAAAATTTCTTGGTCGAAAAACATGGCCGCCTTGGCTGAAAGACCATCACTTTTCGGAATTTGTTTCATGGGGTAGCCGTCCTCT